ACACCCAGCTAATTTTTTTTTTTTTTTTTTTTTTTTTTTTGAGACGGAGTTTCGCTCGTTACCCAGGCTGGAGTGCAATGGCGCAATCTCAGCTCACCGCAACCTCCACCTCCTTGGTTCAGGCAATTCTCCTGCCTCAGCCTCCTTAGTAGCTGGGATTACAGGCACGTGCCACCATGCCCAGCTAATTTTTTGTATTTTTTTAGTAGAGACGGGGTTTCACCATGTTGACTAGGATGGTCTCGATCTCTTGACCTTGTGATCCACCCACCTCGGCCTCCCAAAGTGCTGGGATTACAGGCTTGAGCCACTGCGCCCGGCCTAATTTTTCTGTTTTTAGTAGAGACGAGGTTTCACCATGTTGTCCAGGATGGTCTTGATCTCCTGATCTTGTGATCTGCCCGCCTCAGCCTCCCAAAGTGCTGGGATTACAAGCGTGAGCTACTGCGCCTGGTCGCCACTTATTTTTTGAGACAGAGATTTGCTCCTGTTGTCCAGGCTGGAGTGTAATGGCGTGATCTCCCGGATTCAAGCCATTCTCCTGCCTCAGCACCTCAAGTAGCTAGGATTACAGGGATGCGCCCCCACGCCTGGCTAATATTTTGTATTCTTACTAGAGATGGGATTTCACCATGTTGGGCAGGCTGGTCTTGAACTCTGTACCTCAGGTGCTCCAACCACCTCCGCCTCCCAAAGTGCTGGGATTACAGGAGTGAGCCACTACACCCAGCCTTGCCAGTAATTTTATGGCCATAATTCTTGGTCCTTAAAAAATATATGTTGCTGGCCAGGCACAGTGGCTCATTCCTGTAATCCCAGCACTTTCGGAAGCTGAGGTGGGCAGACTGTCTGAGGTGAGGAGTTTGAGACTAGCCCGGCTAACATGGTAAAACTCCATCTATACTAAAATCACAAAAATTAGCTGGATGCGATGGCAGGCACCTGTAATCCCAGCTACTCAGGAGGCTGAGGCAGGAGAAGCTTTGCAGGCTCTTATGTGATGTTCATTTAATCAAAATTGTATTGAAAAATTATCTTTTGTTATTTAAAAAAATTGAATCATATAAAATACTGTTTAATGTATATAAATATAAAATCTGTATCTAAATTCTCTAATATAATTTAAATTCGATGCATTTCGGAAAAGTGATTGCTATAAATGATAAATTAATGATGAAGAAATACATAAATTGCTGGCTTCTAATAAACTCAAAACATATCTCATAGAAACAGCCTTTTTGGCCAGGCGCAATGGCTCACGCCTGTAATCCTAGCACTTTGGGAGGCTGAGGTGGGTGGATCACCTGAGGTCAGGAGTTCAAGACCAGCCTGGCCACCATGGTGAAACCCGATCTTAAAAAAAAAAAAAAAAAAAAAGAGCTTTTTTTTCCCCCCAGTTGTTTAATTGAAAATCTGCCTGTTTAAGGGGTTTAACTGGTGTTAATATTTGTCAAGGGTCTGGAGTTTTTACATAAGCACTCAGTGACTTACCATGGATGAGGCTCTATAATATTTTTATATCCATAATTGTGGAACGGTCTGTTCAGGGCCCTCATTCCTCAACCTTTTTTTTTCAACCACTATGTCATTAAGGAAGCTTATGTATTAATCATGGTTTTTTCTTTTTTGTATTTTATGTCTTGACATCTTAAAATTCTTGCTGGCTATGGGGGGACTTTCCCTACCAGAGACAGCTACTTTCTAAAAATAGTAAACGATGATTTGGGAGCAAGCAAGCCAACCACCCTCTTTATCTAACTCTTACCAAGCCAATTCTTTCCCCGCACTAAATCATCCCAGTGTTACTGCCAGTGAGTTTGCAGCAGTCTGCAGCAACTTTCGTCATTGCCTCCTCAGAAGAAAGAATTAAACTGAGGCAGAGTTAGGTTTAAGGCAGAGGACGAGACCAAGGCAGGTTTTTTAGCAGGAGCGAGAGTTTATTAAAATGTTTTAGAGTAGGAGTGAAAGGAATCAAAGTACACTCGGAAAAGGGCCAAGTAGATGACTTGAGAGGTCAAGTGCCCCACTTGATCTTTGACTTGGGACTTTATAACTTTGCTCATTTCCCAAGCTCTTTTTTCTCCTCTGGATTCCTCCCTTGGGTAGGCTGTTGCTTGACCACTGCATGCACAGTAGTCTGCCAGCACTTGGGAGGGGCCGCATGCACTGTTTGTTTACTGAAGTCAGGCACGTACTCATTTGGGGTGATTTTCCCTTATAAGTCAAGCACCCCCAGAGGAAGGTCAAATACCAGTCAAATTCTGCCATCTTGCCACATTTTGTGCATGCTTGCCCCATTTTGTGCAGGGATTGTGGGTGACTGGTTCCAGGTGTTTTTTATCTGTTGGAAAACTCTTTTCCCTCCCAGTACCAATCGTGGCCACTTAGCATCTCAGAGGGATAGTTTTATGCTCTCCTGTCCTTCAGCCAATGAGAGCTGGACATCTCTGGGGTTCCTCTCTTGTTATGTTTATTATCTCAGAGGAAAAGATTTATGATCGCCTGTCCTTGACTCCAAAATTGCCTGACAGGGCTGGGCGCGGTGGCTCACGCCTGTAATCCCAGCACTTTGGGAGGCCGAGGCGGGTGGATCACGAGGTCAAGAGATTGAGACCATCCTGGTCAGCATGGTGAAACCCCGTCTCTACTAAAAATACAAAAACTTAGCTGGGCATGGTGGCGCGTGCCTGTAATCCCAGCTACTCAGGAGGCTGAGGCAGGAAAATTGCCTGAACCCAGGAGGCCGAGGTTGCAGTGAGCCGAGGTAGCGCCATTGCACTCCAGCCTGGGCAACAAGAGCGAAGCTCCGTCTCAAAAAAAGAAAAGAAAATTGCCTGACATTCCTGGGGTCCCTCTCTCCTGCCCTATTCATATCTAACTACCTACTGTAACACCAGGGCCAGGTAGGAGGCAACTAGAGAACACTCCTGTAAATCAAAGCCAACCAGAATTATTCAGACTAGCCAGTACTCAGATGTTGGCTCTGATCTGCCTTGCCTTTCCCATGGAAAACACAATAAAGGATCTGGTCTAGGCTTTCCCCTAGCTCTTGCCTCTTCTTTCACACTAAAACCTGTTCCTCCTGTGGCCCTGCATGGCATACTGTAGTTCTGATTTCTAGGGAAATTTTGAAAAACACTGAACTTTAATTTCAGTGGCATTGAGCTCTCCATGTCCTTTTCTAATAAAGATCCATCCACAAATTGGCCTTTCTTGGCTATGATATGTAATGATATTACATATCATTCCAGCACGTCTCAGTGCCTTCACCTTCTCTTTTATCCATTATGCCTGCCACATTCAAAGACTCCATATAATTCAGGATTTTTTTTTCATATTTCCTCCTCTTTCTTGAGTACAATGTAAGCTACTGGGGTCTGTCTCTTGTTTTGCAAATGTTTCATGCAGTAAAGACAGTGCCTGAAATACAGCAGGTGTTTACTGAACATTTGTTAGAACTATGAATAAGCATGAATAATACAGCATCACTGTTCACCTTCACATTCTGATAGCGCTTTCTAAATGTTTTCTTTAGTTGTCCCTCCAGGTATTACAGTCACCAGAAACTCTAGCTGGTCACAAAAGGTACTTCCTTGGCCCATCACACCTCTTTACCCCCAGGGTTAGTGAATGTGCAGCAAAGGCCCTAAAGTAGCAAAGACATCAGGTATAGAGCCTAGGGAGGTACAGGAATCCAGGAAAACTACATTCATTGCTGCTCCAAGGACCTTGTCCGTAACAGTAACACAGTACGGGAGATCCTGAGATTTCTGAATACCCTGATCCCATTCAGCCATAGTGCCTGGGCTGTCTGTGGTGTTTTTACAATGGTCGCTCCCCCTCTAGTTTGCCTCGATCTCCCCAAGCCCAATCATTCACACCTAATATTTATCAATTTTGTTTCCATACTGGATGCTTTAGATCTTACCAAGTGGCCTGTGTACCAGATTCCGGTTTTCAGAAAACATGGCCACTCAGCAGGTCCTAAGGAATAGGTTTACCTCAACAGTGTTGGGGAACATGAGACATATGCTAGAAACAAGACGCCCAATCCATGCTGTTTCAAAACACTACAGACTGTCACAGCAGCAGCGCCCTCCTGAAAGTGACATATGGGCTCTCAAATAACTCTAAAATCCGGACAAATCAGGCCTACAAAGAATTGTTACTTAACAAGCTTTGTCAGCTATGGAAGTTAAGTTAGTCTAGTCCAAAACTGGACTAAGAACTGTTCTCCCTCAACCCACTGCCCCATTTGAGGCACACAAAGTTGGAGGCCCTTAAATTAGTTCAACCATTGTGGAAGACAGTGTGGCGATTCCTCAAGGACCTAGAAATAGAAATTCCATTTGACCCAGCAATCCCATTACTGGGTATATATCCAAAGGATTATAAATAATTCTACTATAAGGACACGTGTACACGAATGTTCATTGCGGCACTGTTTACAATAGCAAAGACCTGGAACCAACCCAAATGCCAATCGATGATAGACTGGACAGGGAAAACGTGGCACATATACACCATGGAATATTATGCAGCCATCAAAAACGATGAGTTTGTGTCCTTTGTAGGGACATGGATGAACCTGGAAACCATCATTCTCAGCAAACTGACAGAAGAGCAGAAGATCAAACACCGCATGTTCTCACTCATAGGCGGGTGTTGAACAACTGAGGGCACAGGGACAAAGGGAGGGGAGCACTACACACGGGGGTCAGTTGGGGGGAAATAGGGGAGGGAAGGGGGGGGGGTGGGGAGTAGGGGAGAGATAGCAAGGGGAGAGATGCCAGATGTAGGTGATGGGGAGGAAGGCAGCAAATCACACTGCCACGTGTGTACCTATGCAACAATCTTGCATGTTCTTCACATGTACCCCAAAACCTAAAATGCAATAAAATAAATGGGGAAAAAAAAAAAAGTTGGAGGACCCTACAAAGGCTGTCTTCTGTTTCGCAGGGCCTGTTCTTAATCTAATCCAGTGAAAAGAACCCCCAAGATTAAAAGTGGCTTAAACTGTAAGGCCTTTATTATCGCAAACCAGAGCAACTTGAGGCAAGTACTTTCCCAGGTCAGGTGACTTGGAGGCTGGAAAAGTTCATTACAAGTATGTGAGACCAAGACTATCCATGAAGAAAGTAAACCTTTTGTATAAGCCACCAACAGATATAGCTCAGACCTTCTTGGCTAATGATGGGTCATGTCCATATCTATACCTGTCACACAGAAGGGAATGAGGACCCCCAATGAACTCAGGCATTTCATGATTTTCTCCAGGGACTGGAGAATATAAAACCCTGCCTTCCCTGATGCTGGGGTATGTAAGCTGGTAGAGTTAAGATGGTTTTGGCCACAGGCACTGACAGGCAAAAAACCTGAGCAGGTCAGAAAGTGCAACACATCCCTAGAAGCTTCCCACATACCTGGCACCATAAGGTATCTCCCTTGAGTCAATGTTCAGATATATGAAGTTCAACATCTGACTGATGAGTTCTGTTGTATTCAGAGCAGTCCTAGAGCCTGTCTGCCGTGTGAACTTTCTGGTACCGATTCGAGGTGAAGGCTTAAGCGGTAGGCCTTCCCACATTCACTGCCTTTCTCCAGTGTGAAGTCTTTGGTGCCGAACAAGGTGGGAGGTTCTGATAAAATCTTTCCCACATGTACTGCATACAAAAGGCCTTTCACCAGTGTGAACCCTCTGGTGTGCAATAAACTCAAAACTTCGACTAAAGAATTTCCCACATTCAATGCACTCAAAACGCTTTGACTCAGTGTGAATACTCTCATGTTGAACAAGTGTAGATTGGTGTCTGAAGACTTTCCCACAATCACTGCACTTATAAGGCCTTGCTCCAGTGTGAACTCTCTGGTGTACAATTAGATTGGAGTGATGGCTAAAATATTTCCCACATTCATTGCACTTATAAGGCATTTCTCCAGTGTGGATTCTCTTGTGCTGAGTAAGGTTGTCTTTTTGACTGAAGGTTTTTCCACATTCGCTGCACTCATAAGGCCTTTCTCCACTATGGATTCTCTTGTGCTGGACAAGTGTAGCTTTGCGGCTGAAGGTTTTTCGACATTCACTGCACTCATAAGGTCTTTCTCCAGTATGGATTGTCTGGTGCTGGACAAGTGTAGCTTTGCGGCAGAAGGCTTTTCCACATTCATTGCATTCATAAGGTTTCTCTCCACTATGGATTCTCTGGTGTTGGACCAGTGTGTCTTTGCGGCGGAAAGCCTTCTCACATTCACTGCACTTGTAATGCATTTGTTCACCATGAAATGCATCCTTATTCTGAGTGCTTCTGTGTGTCTTCCTCTTGCTTTGGGTGGCCTTTTGTTGGCAAGCACCCAAAGTAGCCTGGAAGTTTTTCTGCTCCTCCTTACAGGCAAAGGGCTTTTCTGATGGGTGAGGTTCTTTGCTAACTGTGCAGTTATTCACAAATGAGGCCTCACCTTCATCTCTTCTTAAGGGTTTCTCTATACTGTAACACTGCTGGTTCTGGTGAAGGTTTACACTGAACCCAAATTGTCTCCCACAAGCCTCACATGTGTGAAGTTTTAGTCCATGGTGTTTACCCTGGTGTTCATCCAGGTGCAAAATATCTTTCAAGATAGGGTAACATATGTCACAAAAGTGAGCCGCCTGTGTGGGTGAACCTGCCTTGGAAGTATTAATATGTGACATATTAGTATGGCTCTGTTCAGAAGATGCCTCTTCATCCTTCACTCCATGCCAACAACCTGAAGGCAGAAAAGTACTATTGAAGTACATGGTGACTATGGTGAGTGGGGCAACTCCATCACAAATGAGAATCTGGTGTACCCAGGACTGAGCACCTAAGTTTCCTGGTGGAACAGAACTACGATCAGGTGGAAGAAAGGGCTGCTATACAGTACTAGAATCTAAGGTCACTCAGAATGGAGATGGTCTCACAAGAAACGAAGACACATGGATGGAGTGTAGTGCAGGGAGAAGTGCAAGGTCTCCAACTTCATCCTCTGCAATGACTTTTAGCTGGACCTTGGCTGACTGTGGGTGACAGGAGACTGCTATGCAGAAATGCATGTCCAGGCCCATAAAAATGTGATTAAAAGTGAGTAATGTGTTCAGGGACTATTTCAGAATATGTACGTATCTTACGACACATTAGTGTTTAAGTATAGTCCAATATTGGACAGCACTGAAGAGAGTCCTATTGCTCTACTAGAGCCCCTCTGGTAGAGAGTAGGAGAGAACAGCCCTGGGTGAGAAGTCAGATTACAAATGACAAGCGTGTACAGAACATGAAGAAAGGTAAATATAAGTTAGGGCCTCTGGCCTTGGCACCAGTGACAGGTACACATAGGTTTCCGGAGCTATAGGAACCCAGCCCTGAGGTTATGCCCTCCCTCAGCCTCAGCTCCCACTCACCAGGGCTTGCCCAAGCCTCTCCTGCTGTGACTAGAGTCATGCCCTCTTCATTTAGGCACCTGGAGTTCTCTCTCGTTACAGTTCAGCAACGACAGAGGACCTGGAAGATACAAAGCATAGACAGGGGAAAGATGAAACAGGCTCAGTGAGAAAGCACTAGCTCAGGGTAGCCCACCCATGCAAAATCACAAGAAAACAAACTACAAAATGAACCCCAGAAAACTGTCCTGCAGGAACAGTCCAGTGGGCCCACAAGTGGTGACCATGATGACTGAAACTGATGACATGGGCAGACTCAAGGAAAATGCAATTAGAGGAAGGGGGTGGAGTCTGGAGGTGTCATGAGTGTGGACAGTCACCTGGCCAGGGAGAGGCTAAGCAGGATTCAGTGGTTTACCTTAGGACCCCTGACCCCTAAACCATTCCTGGCAAGGCTTCAGGGCAGCAGGAGCTGAGGGACACAGGGAACAGAGGCGGCAATGCATCTAGCTGAGCCTTGACACCAGAGGACCTACGTGAGGGAATCAGGGAAGACAGCAGTGACGATGCTCTAGCCATGGAAAGGCAAGAGCCATCCCTAGGGTAGAAAGGAAGAGCAGAGCCCAGCCCACAAAAATGGGACACTGGGGCCTTACCTAGGGAGACTGTAAATGCAAAGCACAGAAACCATTATTTCATCATAGAAGTCTCTCTGAGCCTTATCAAGCAGCTCCCATTCCTCCTAAGAGAAGCACACAAGTAAGTCCTCAAAGGTCACACAGTCCTGCACGAGGTGGTGGACAACTGAGCCTAAGGTCAGCCTCTCTCCCCAGGATTCCTTGTCGCATCTAACTACAATGAGATAACAGGCCCTAGTTTGACTGATGCCTGTTCTCTCCTCGTATTCCATTGTTCATTTTGACCAGCGCATAACAGGCAAGTGGACAGATAAAACACCATGGCCTGGCTTCTCCTATCAGCCAGCTCCCCTAGGATCAACCGATTATGCCTCATACAGAACCTGAGCTCAGCATTCTCTCATGAACCCTCAGTAGCAAAGCTCTGGGCCCATGAATTCACACTCCATCTACATGTGCACACCACCCTTTTGGCCATATCTCCTTTACATCTATGGACACCCACTACGTAGGTACCGCCCTGGCTTCCCCATATGCAAATCTACATACAGCATCCAGAAATGCTTGGATAATGCATTGAGGACCACATCTGTTCCAGGTGAATGGCTCCACTGCCATGGTTTCACCTGAATCCAGCTATTAAATCCTCCACTCCTGGTTCTATTTCATGGGTCAATTCAGCAATTGAGAACCACATGCAGATCTCAGATAAACTCAGCATTTTTCTCCTTTGCTGTTGTACTACTGAGTTCAGTCACAGACTTCATCTCAACATTTTTTTTTTTTTTTTGAGACGGAGTTTTACTCATGTTACCCAGGCTGGAGTGCAATGGCGCAATCTCGGCTCACTGCAACCTCCGCCTCCTGGGTTCAGGCAATTCTCTTGCCTCAGCCTCCTGAGTAGCTGGGATTACAGGCACGCACCACCATGCCCAGCTAATTTTTTGTATTTTTAGTAGAGACGGGGTTTCACCATGTTGACCAGGATGGTCTCGATCTCTTGACCTCGTGATCCACCCGCCTCGGCCTCCCAAAGTGCTGGGATTACAGGCTTGAGCCACCGCGCCCGGCAACCATCTCAACATTTAACTCATTCAAAACCCACACCCGCTGAGCACCTACCCCAAGCACAGTGATTCTGCCTACTGACCCTATCTGTCCCTGGGCTAATTCACTAGCTTGAAACTCCACAGGGGCCACCACGGAAGCCTGAAGACACATAAAGAGCTGAATAAGCACTGGCTCTGGTCTCACTGCCACCTCACTTCTATTACTACAGTACTTCACCTCACATCCGCTCTCTCCCTGAAACTTTGCCACCTGCCTGAACCTATTATTCCCCTTCCTCCCAAGAACACTTCCCTCCCTCTTCTAGCCTCTAAGATGGCCCCACCCCCACCCTGCTGTGCCTGCCCTTACATTGTGCTCTCTGATGGCACTGCCACTATGACCTAAAGATTCTCCCTCTAAACTAAAAGCAAAACTCTATCCTGATCCACATGCCAGCTGCCACCCTGTGGATAGCTCCAACCTGAGTCCCTTCTCTGAACTTCAGATCTCTGTGTCCAGCTGTCTACTTGACACCTGCACTCAAGTGTCTTTGGAACATGGCAGATTCCACGTAGCCAAACTACACTGGTGATATAACCTCTGAAAGGTACTCCTACCACCAACTTTGTCCCCCTCAGATGATGGCATCCTTGTATCTTCTCAGAATAAAAAAATGCAGGATCATCCTTCACCCCTCCCCTTTTCTATCTCATCTTCCAAAATCTGGTTGGTCCCTCCTTTTTTTTTTTTTTTTTTTTTAAATACAGATGGGGTTTCACCATGTTAGCCAGGCTGGTCTTGAACTCCTGACCTCAGGTGATCCACCCACTTCGGCCTCCCAAAGTGTTAGGATTACAGGCGTGAGCCACCACACCCAGCCTGGTTGGTCCCTCTTTAAGGAAAATGATTCAGAATCCATCCACATCTCCCACCTCTACAGCCACCACTCAGGTCCAACCTAAACTGTTACATTAAGCTCCTCAGTGGTATTCCTTCCCTCATCCTCACTCCCACAGTCTTTTCTTCACTGGACAGTGAAGACAAAGTTGGTTAAGACCAAAGTCAGATCATTCCCTCCTAGATCCAAACCTGCAGTGGCTCCTACCTCTCTCAGCATGGAAACCCAGATCCTCAGGCTGCCTACCATTCCTGGGCTGAATCCTGTCCCTGCTGTCTGATCCCACCAGACATAATGGAGACCTGAGGCCAAACACTCCTAGTTTAGCCTCAAGTCAAGTAATTGCATGTGCTGGTTCCTGTGCCTGAGACAGTGTTCCACACTTCATTCTACTGCTTGCCAGAAACGGAAACCCTTCCACATAATTCCAAAACAGAATTTACAACACAGGGCTTTGGGTGACTGCAGGATCTCTCCAAACGGTAGGTAGAAGGGACACTGAAGAGTCCCAGAACATTCTAATTTCCTATACTGAGTTGCTGAGATAATGGGGGTGTGTTGGGATAAGTGAGGGCCTGAGACAATCTGGACTCATTCTAGGTAGGAATCACAAGCTTCTGCCACCATGGCAACCTCACAAGAAGAGGGAAGCTGGGAGTGGCAGGTTCCCACAGTCGGATCTCATGGACTGAACTGTTTCCCTAACCCCTGCCAACCCTGCCCTTTGGCAGGGATGATTTTGGGTTACCTCTCTAACTTCAAATACTCAGACCTCAGTGCTGGCTCCTGCCAGCTGTGTGGACATAAAGAAAGACTGGTGTCTCAGTGTCCTCATCTTAAAAGTGCGGATAATAATGGCACCCACCTCACAGAGCTACTGTTTCTATCAGTCTTGTCTGTACACGTCAAGTGCCTCTGAAACAGCTACTACTATCCATGCAAATGAACTGATAAGTTTTTGAAAAATTAGGTTTGTTTTGCTTGCTTTAAAAATTTTTCAGAATATTTGGTAAGATTTCCCATTGTAATAAAATACTTTAGGCAAATTAATATTTTGACCAATCATTAAGTGCTGGTATCAATTTAACTTATATTATATACACATTTTCTAGTTCCCTACTTCTGTGTACTTGCAAGGTATACGCTAGCCTTTGCACTAAACCAGCCTACCTGATACATATTCCTCTGAAGGGGAGCTGCATGATCCTTCATTAGAGACGTTCATCATTTCTGCTTACTCGAGGGTTTGCGTAACTGAGACACCAGTGCACTGGCTGGGGATGGGACTGTTCCACAGGCAGTGCCCATGAGAGCGTGGTGAGACTTTCGGGTGGCAAATCTACTGCATCCCATACCTTGGTCTCCAGTGCAGGCCACACTACTTATGCTCTGCAGCCCTCTCCACTTACTGACACCATACAGAATCCTCCCTGCAAGATTCTTTGAACTGGCTGCACCATGGACTATACCATGGTTACTCCTGTGACCCACACGTACACCTCCAGAAGGCCTCCTGGAGCCAGAAAGTCTGAAGTAAAGGGAAAACCACAGAAGAAGAAGCATGGCTAGTTCCTGCAGTGCCTAATTAACCAACCTTCCATTTTGCCATTGTTCTTGCCTCAACCATTCCTGCCTTACATGATAACTCAACCTTGTGAAACTAGACCTTGTGACACTACCCTCTCCTCCCCGCAAACCCAGTGCCCCTCCCACAGGTTTCCAGCTTGCAAAAAGCACACTGAATTGTAACTTTCCACTGCCTACCCCAACCTATAAAACCAACTCTTATTCCACCACCCTCCACTGACTCTCTTTTCAGACACAGTGCACTTGCACCTGAGTGAATAAACAGCCTTGTTTCTCACACAAAGCCTGTTTTGGTGGTCTCGTCATTCAGAGCACGCCTAACATCTGGTGTTGAAACCCGGGACAGGGATACTCCTGTGGGAGACCAGCCCCTGGCCCTGCTCTTCCTCTGTGAAGAAACCCACCTGTCACCTCAGCACATCAGACCAGCCTGACAACCTTCTCACCACCTTCAGATCAGGTAAGCAGTCTCTCCCTCTCTCTTTTCCTTTAAATCCTTCTCCTTTTAAGTACAGAAAAGGAGACACGTCTCAGGGACAAGTCTTCCCCCCAACCCCCTCGGCTTCCCTGCTCTTTTCCTTTAACTCCTTCTGCTTCTTCTTTTTTTTTTTTAATTTTTATTTATTTATTTATTTATTTAAAAGACGGGGTGGTTTCACCACTGGTCTTGAACTCCCGACCTCAGGTGATCCGCCTGCCTTGGCCTCCGAAGTGCTTGGATTACGGACGTGAGCCACCACGCCTGGCCTAACTCCTTCTGCTTCTTAGAGGCAAAGGAGACACTCTTTATCCGCAACGTAAGTTATGAACTCCGCTAGGTCAGACGGTCTTCCTTTGGTGTCTGGTCACTCGCAGGGATGCCTGCTTTGATCACTAACCCATGTTACAGCCCAGGACTCAGTCAGGAATGCCTACTGAAAATCCTGGTAGCTGCTCACTCCATCTCCTTGTCTCTTCTCTAGTTCTTTCTTTAAAACTTATCGCCTTTGCTATGAGCAGTGTTCTGCCCTCTTTTCCTCAGTCTTCGCCTCTAGTCTGCATCCTAAAAACCTAAAACCTCTTCAACTATAGCCCAATCTGAAACCTAAACATCTTTTTTTCTGCAATACAGCCTGATCCCAGTACATATTAGACAACGGTTCCAAATGGTCAGAAAACAACACTTTCAATTTTTCTATTCTGTGAGACCTAGGCAATTTTCACAAATGAATGGGGAAATGCTTAAGGTGCCTGACGTCCAAGCATTTTTTTACACCCCAATCCCTCCCTAATTTCTGCTTTCAATGCAACCAATCCCAAATTTTCTTCTCTCTCCTCTGTCCACCACTCTTGCCTCCGCCAGTAACTCAGAATCTTCCT